CCCCCCCCCCCCCAATCGGGAATGGCCTTAAAGATTTTTCAGTCAGTTGCACTGCCCTGGGGGTGCGACCTCAGTTTGATTCTCCTGTGTGTAGAAGGCTATTCCGTCGACTGCTTCTAATCATTTATCTCGGTTCTGAAATGCTATGTATATGGTCAACAGGGGCGGCTCGTGGGGCTAAAAAGTGGGCGTGTACAATAATAATTAAGCTATCGCATGCTGAAGATAGTCAAGGGCATAGATAGTAAATGAGACCGTGTATAATTTTAGGATCTTTGGTGTGGTGAGGGAGGGCCTCGTGCTTTTATTTTCATTCTTTTTACTTGTCGCTTTGATTTCTAGTACTAAATTTGTTTGTTAGCTAAACATCAATTTCGTTCATCATGTATTGGAACTGAACACTCAAGTATATGTAATAACTTTCACTACTCCAGTACAAAACCATTCAAAGGCACAACTCATAGGACGGTCACGTACACCTCCCTCAGGTTCACGGTTACCGAGTCACTTAAAATAGGCTAGAGGCAAAACAAACAATGAACCAATCACAATTCACTTGAGCACTCCGCTGGATTGCTCCGGGGTTCACATAATATTGGCAAAGAATAGCGTAGGGTCTATCGTGTTTATTTTTAGACTGCCTACTGTGTGCTATGTTTCAGCACTATTCGGCAGGAGCACATACCGCTAAACTCCATACGAGTGTCGTCATCGCTTGGGTTATCCCCAAAAGTGATTTATAGGTCAGGTTACACCGTTGAATATCCTTTTCTGTTTAGCTAAAGCGCGTGGACTTTGGCATGGCATAGTAGATGTTTTACAGCGATATAGACATAGAAATGACAGTTATGGCGCCAGTGAGGACCTTTGTTTTTATATAATATTTGGCTAGTGTTTGTTTCTGGCTTCTTTTATTTTATTTTTGTAGGTGTTTAACGTAATAGAATATTGAAAAAGTTTGGGCGGCACTGCACGACCGTGCTCTATGGACGAACCGCGCCTGATGGTCAACCCTTCTATATGGCTGTGAATGCTTGACAGTCACTAAAGACAGTGAAAATAAAATAGAAGCAACAGAAATGTGGTTTCTTAGGAGACTGTTAAGAGTATCGTGGAAGGAAAAGAAATCAAATGAGGTTGTGCTTCATGAAGCCCACGTGGGACGCTCACTGTTAAAAACAATCAAGAAACGTAAAATGCAGTTTTTTGGACACCTGAATAGATATTATAAAGGTCCTGAACATCTAGGCTCTCATTGGCAAAATTAAAGGCAAACGAGGCAGGGAAAGGCCCAGAGCTATCTACTAAGAGAACCTAGGAACAAATGGGTAACGGGGAAAGATCAGGGAGACATTGTTTTTTTAAGCGCATGTGAGCAAAGGAATGAATGGAGAGCCGTGATCGCCGATGTCTGTCGCTGATGATGATGATGATGATGGTGATGATGATGATGATGATGATGATGATGATGATGATGATGATGATGATGATG